TTGTGCAGAAGTATTGACTTCACATCCAGAGCCCACTGAAGGTTTTCTCTTAAATAAAAAAGGCACACTTTCCACTTCACCCCCAGTCTAGGGAAGGAGAAAGGAAAGAAACATAAAAACCTACAGTCACACTCAACTCACTGTAATGTAGTTGTGAAAGCCGCCATGTTAAATCCAGGAATCCGCTCCAGCAGCTGTTCTTCAATATATTTTTCCACCAGAGAAATCTGCAACAGTGGAAAAGATCTCAGACCACCTTTAGAGAAGCAGGACATGTTTTCAGAAAACCCATCTCCTGCCCTTGGCAGTGTCGCCTGAGACCCTGTTCTATGTGTAGGCTCTATGCTGAGTGACAGGGATACCAAAGGGGACCAAATCCCAGCTCCTGTCCTGGCTAGGTCGTGGGATTCCTGGTGCCAAGGGGCACTTGCAGGTAGTTATGCCATTAACAGGAGGCTGCTCTAACCCTGGTGGAGTCAGGCAGAGCACAGCTCCCACTCCTCAGTGCAGGAGGACAGGAAGTTAATGGTCTTCCTGTGTAGATGGAATCTGTGCAGACAGAGCACACAACAAGCACTGGGGAGGAGTCCTGGCTCCTGCTGAGCCAGTTTCCTAGATTATGCCATGATTCTGTGTTTAGAAAATAAAGTCCTCAAGGCTCAAACCTATTCTTAGAGGCTGTGAGAAGCCTCAGGGTACAGTATAAAGAGCCAAGGGCAAAAAGCTGAGGTCCCCAGGTTCTGGTCTTGGTGTTCCTATCACCTTGTAAGAGTGATCTTGGCCTCTTTTCACTTTTTTTTTTTTTCCTGGCAGTGCTGCCGGGGATTGAACCCAGGGCACTGGACATGCTAGATAAGTGCCTACCAGTGGGCCACACCCCTAGCTCCTGTTTTCTCTTTTACTTAATAGTCATGCGTATATGACTGAAAACTTTAGAGGAACCAGATCAAGGTATGTGAACTCACATATTACAATCGAAAGCAGGATTATGGCAAAGCCCAACATCTTTTAAATCACAAGTTGAAAGTTTGTCAAATACCACCTGAAAGCCTTTTGGAAAACAGCCCTAAGAGCTGGGTGGAGGAAGGTGAACCAAACCAGATTCTAATCAGAATTCCTGGCAGGTTTCTGCTGGCGTTATTTTAAAAGCAAATTTCAATGTCTTTTGATTCTGAATTTGAGTTTTAAAGAAACCCTAATCTCCTGGTAGGAGAAACAAGAATTCACTCACATATTCGTTAAAAATGGGTGTGTAGATGAGTTTATTCTCTTCTGTATCTTCAAACTCCTGGTAGTACTTGTCCATGAAGTTTCTCTGTAATAACTGGAACTCGTCATCTGAACCACAGAGGGAGGAATKTATTATTTTTAATGGATTTTTTTACCAGCCACTCTGATCTATGAGATGGCAACAGTACTGCTTTCTTAACAGCTAATGTTTTAAGAGGGGTTAAATAGGACACTCACTTGTAAAAAACCAATCACTCTTATTTTATTTTGTGGTGCTTGGGGTTAAACCCCAACCCTTTTTAGACAGATCTTGCTAACTTGCCCAGGCTGGCCTTGAACTTACCATCCTCAGCTTCCCAAGAAGCTGATATTATAGGTGTGAGCCACAAAGCCTGGCTTTAAAAAAAAAAAACTGTGGTAAGATATATAAAATTTATGGTGTTAAGTTTTTTTTTGGGGGGGAGTAGGGATAGTGGGGATTGAACTCAGGGGCACTTTACCACTGAGCCACATCCCCAGCCCTATTTTGCATTGTATTTAGAGACAGGGTCTCACTGAGTTGTTCAGTGCCTTGCCATTGCTGAGGCTGGCTTTCAATTAGATCTGTCTCAGCCTCCCAAGCCACTAGATTACAGGCGTGCACCACAGTGCCCAGCTGTTTTAACCATTCAGTTTGATGATTTTAAGTATGTCCACACTTCTGTTCAAATGTCACCACCTTCTGTCAGTTTGTTTTAAACACACCCCCATGGGATGGCTTGGGAACTCCCTTATACTCCTTGTCTGTAAAGGAACAAATTGTCTCTGTCTCTCTTATCTTTAAGAAATCATAAAAGCTTATTGGGCATACAGAAGGTCCATTCTCAAACTGCAGGACTTCAGACCTAATGGCAACAAGCCTCTCTCTTTATATAATTTTAAAAGCAGTGTTGAAAACAGTGTAGCAGTTAAAAGTGTGGAAACAACAGAAGCCAGACTGCCTGAGTTCAAATCCTACTGCCACCACTTGCTACCTGTGCAACCTTGGACAAGTTACTTAATTTCTTTAAACCTCAATTTCTTCATCTGTCTTGTAGGGTGGCTGGGTGGAGTTTGAATAAAAATTCATGCAAATAAAGAGATTAGTTCACAGCAAATACTTCATGTTAGGGAATAGGGAATTTTAGCAACTGAAAAGAATATTATTTTAAAAAATAAAAGGAAAGCTTCAAGAAAGGATCCAGACTTGATAAATACCCTGTGCCTGCAGAAGGCTCATTTTCTCCTAGCAGATAGTGCCCATAATAGGGAAAAGAACTGAACAGATTTCAGTCTTCCCCAGAAATCCTCAAGTCCTCATGGAAGAGCTTAATGCAAAGTGAAATGTCTATATTTAGGAATTAAGGGCACAAAGCTTTATAGGAACCGAAGGTTCAAAAAACTGATCAGTGGGCTGGGGATATAGCTCAATTAGTAGAGTGCTTGTCTTGCACGCACAAAGCCCTGGGTTCAATCCCTAGCAACACACACACACACACACACACACACACCAAAAAAAAAAATTGGTCGGTGATTTTCAGACTAAACTAGATTAAGCTATATGGCCTATTAATAACACCAATTAACCATCTTTTCCTACTTCTAAAAAAAACTCAAGTCAATAGACAATGTCTGTTTTAAAACTTTGCAGCCTGTTACTATTGGTATTACTTAGCAGGATTAATGGATGCCAAATGAATCCACAAATACGAACACAAAACTCAGGAAACTAGAAATCCAGCTGAAGCCTAACACCTTATTTTCTTCATGGACATTTGTGTGTATGGTTATGGTTGTTGTTTTTTTTTTTAAATATTTATCTTCCAGTTATAGATGGACACAATATCTTTATTTTCTTTTTTTATATGGTGCTGATGATTGAACCAAGTGCCCCATACATGGTAGGCAAGTGCTCCACCCCTGAGCCACAACCCAAGCCCTAGTTATGGTTTTATGTTCTGTTTTATAGTGTGAAAACTAAAAACTACCTAAAAAACCAAAATTACTCTTACTCCTATTTGTGAAACACTGGATGCTCCAATAGTTTCTGAAGCTTTGCCAAGAGCTCCTTCTAGATGCCCCATTACCTGACTATATCTCTCTAGGTCCCCAAATCTATGGTAATTAGTGTCACTAGACAGGGGTTGAGGAGAAAGTCCCTGTAAGGAGGCAATGGGACTTAAACTCGGCACAAGTGGGTTCTTTTTATTTTGGTACTGGGGACTGAACCCAGAGGTGCATTACCACTGAGCTATATCCCTAGCCCTTTCTAGTTTTTATTTGGAAACAGGGTCTCACTAAGTTACTATGGCTAGCCTCAATTTCTGATTCTCCTGTCTCTTTGCTGGAATTACAGGTGTGCCACTGTGCCTGGCTGTGCAGGTTCGAAAAACAGAACTGAAAAGAATTTCAGGAAATGTCTAAAGAACGACACAAACAAAGATTTAATGAAGGATAGTAAAGATACATACCTCAAAGGCAGGATGCAGATGCCCCTCACCTCTCAAGAGAAGACAAGAGAATACCCAGGATTGAACTCTCTGACTAAATACATATATGATTTTCCTGGGAACAAATGTGCAGGTTCCTAGCCAGGCTTTTGTGAAAATCAAATCCCATGACAATCACTTGATATTTGGGGTTTAAGCAGCCTTGACATTAATTAGGTGTGAGCATATTGTATAGGTCTTTGAATCTGGTGACATTTAAATTTATTTTGTTTTTGTTCTAGTTGATCTGGTACAAGCACGTGCTGAAGGTGTTGTTCATCTAACTAAAAAGATAAGCATGGCTAGTCATGCTCATAGATTCAGGTCTCCAAATATTAAGGGTCTCATTTCTCTCTCCCCAAGAGCCCACCTATTCTTTTTTTTTTTTTTATATACGAGGGAATGAACCCAGGGGCACTTAAACACTGAGCCACATCCCCAGCCCATTTTATTTTGAGACAGGGCCTCTCTCTAAGCTGCTTAGGGCCTTGCTAAGTTTCTGAGGCTGGCTTTGCACTCATCATCCTCCTACCTCAGCCTCTGAAGCTGATGGGATTACAGGTGGGTGCCACTGTGCCCTTAGAACCCACCAATACTAATTAGTTGTTTTAAGGAGTATTAGGTTTCTAAGACAAATCCCAGTAAGACTCAGTTAGTATTGCACTGAGAAACACTGAAATTTACATGTAACTTGATGTCTTCTCTTTTTAAAMAAATCAACTCTTCAAATTGATGTCAATGTCCTTAAAAATAAGGGTCTGAGAACTAAAGAGCACAGATGAGGTTGTGGCATGGAAACTTACCCATGATAATGTCCTCTAGATATCCAACCACAGCATCAAATTCTGCATCGGATGCAGAGGAGCTGAAAAATATGCCAGGATTATGTGTTGGTTCAAATCATTAATTAAAAAAATTTTTTTAAAAATATTTATTTTTTTAGTTTTCGGTGGACACAACATCTTTGTTTTTGTATGTGGTGCTGAGGGTCGAACCCGGGCTGCATGCATGCCAGGCGAGCTCACTACCCCTTGAGCCACATCCCCAGCACACCCCCCCCAAATTTTAATATTTATTTTTTAGTTGCAGTTGGACACAATACCTTTATTTTATTTATTTGTATGTGGTGCTAAGGATTGAACACAGGGTCTCGCATGTGCTAGGCGAGCACTTTACCGCTGAGCCGCAACCCCAGCCCCTTAAAAATGTTTTAACGGACATTTTCCAACATGTGCAAGAGAAAAAAGAATAGTAAAACGAGTTTCCATCACTCGGCTTCAGGAATTAAATATTAGTTGATTACTGCCTATCAAACCGAAACAGAAGAAAAAAACACTAATGAAATGCAATGGCTCCACTTTTATAAAACCCGATATGACAGTGAGTTATAAAAGGGACAAATAAGGGGAGCCACGGGCTATCTCCAGGCACCTCCACCTTTATTCCCCGAGGGACCTACTCACCGCATCTTGGCCACCACGCCGCACCTASGCAGCGTGAACCAGGCGCCAGGGAAATCGTGGTCTACAGGGGAGCAGACAGGAGTCGCTGGGGGAGGGAGGTGGTGGTGGAGGTCCTCTGACCCGCGGTCAGCCCTGGCAGCTCAAGTCCCCTAGGTTTTGCTGACGCCTAAGGTTCAGGCGAGGGATTGTGATGGAGACGCTGATACTCGGTGACACCGCCCCCGCACGCCTGTCTCCCGGGACCTAAAGTTGCTGGCTCAGCGGCCGCAGAAGCCGCACAGCGGAGACCGCTTAATGGAGCAGAGCCTCGGCTGTCCCCACCGCGACACCGACCCGAGGTCTCCCGCTTCACAGAGCCGCGGCCTTCCGCAGCCGGAGCGCTGCCGGCGTCACTCACAAGGACAGCGMGAAGCTCTCTTCCTCTAGGGCGTCCATCGCCGCGGCGCCGCATCCACCTGCGCGGGCGAGCGGGCCTGTCGGCCTCCTATCCCGCCCGCGGCCCGGGCCCAGCCTCCGTCCTGCTCCGCGGAGCCCACACCCGCATCGAGGGCACGGCGGCCCGCCAGCYGGGAGGAGGCCTCGCCGCCCAGGCCGCAGGCAGCCCACGGCCCAGACGGCTCAGCGCGAGGCCCGGCCTCGGGCTCCTGGCTGCGGCCTCGCGCCAGCCGGGCCTCCTCGCACAGCGAGGCCGCTCCGCCGCCGCCGCCGCCTCGGGTCCAGACGTCGGTTACCGACCAGCGCCCCGCGCCCCGCCTCCCGTTACCAGGGTCACCGCAACCTTCGCCGCCCCGCGGGCTCGGACAGCCAATCACAGGCCGCGTCCCCGACAGGGGTGGGGCAAAACAGGGAGAAGGAGTCTGGGAAAAGGAAGGTCGCGAGGGATGCTGGGCCGACGTGGACCTGCGGGGAGTCGCCGCTGTGGTCGCGCGCTGTGTGGCGGCCAGGTTTCGGGTGGTTCGCCTTTTATGGATTAAGGACTCGAAGCCAAGAACTTTGGTTTCCTCACTTGCAACTTGGGGACAAAGCGGCCTGACAGGGTGTTTGAGAAGATTAAGTAGCTGAAAGTGTGTGATACTTTCGTTTTAAACGTTACCGAGGATTGAGCTCTACCACTAAACAGTACATCGCCAGCCTTTTGTTTGTTTGTGTTTTTGTTTTTAATTTTGAGATAGGGTTTCGCTAAGTTGCAGAGCCTGGCCTCAAACTTGCCATCCTTCTGCTTCAGCCTCCTGAGTAGCTCACAGGCACGTGCCACCATGCCCAGTTTGAAAGCATGCTTTTAAATGGCCAAAGCACTTGAGTGCCAATCTTGAACCAGATGATGCATAAGTCATATTTGTAAGAAAGGTATCCCTTGCTTCCCGTGGAAACAGACCCCAGTGCAGGAAGTGAATATCAAAATTTACACCATAATCTTCACATAAAGATTATTAGATAGTAAGTAGCTCCCTGGCTAATACTGCAAAACAAAAGTTGACAGAACCACCTGAACAACACAATCAGAAATAAGACAACTGGGGCTGGATTGTGGCTCAGCAGTAGAGCTCTTGCCTAGCATGTGCGAGGCCCTGGGTTCGATCCTCAGCACCACATAAAAATAAAGATATAAAATATTGTGTCTAACTACAACTAAAAAATTTTAAAAAAAAAATTGGGCTGGGGTTGTGGCTTAGAGGTAAAGCCCTTGCCTAGCATGTGTGAGGCACTGAGTTCATTCTCAGCACCAAATAAAGTAAAATAAAAGAGAGACCCTTGCTCCATAATAGCAAAACTTTGAGAAAGGATTTCCTGGAGCTGATTTCTCTTGATTGGACCATTCAGCATTATGTTTCTTTGATTGCATGATTACCTTTTGGCCAAATGTGTGGTATGGAACTAGAGGGATTACTGTGTGAATTGAGGGTCAGATGATTATCCTGAATGAATTAGCAGACATCTTTGAATGGACATAGATATACCTTAGGATCTAAAACTAAATTTAGTCACAAAGACACAGTTGTCTTGGGTGAGATCTAATCTCAGGATACTTAGTTTAGCACCAGGTGCTAAACTTTTTGGATAGGCTTCCAAAAAGACTAGCTGAGCTGGGCTGGGTAGTCCATGAGAATGAGGATGGAGAATGGAAAGTTCCAGCCAGCTGGGTAACTAAGTAAGATCCTGTTTCAAAATAAAATTTAAAAAGGGCTGAGGATGTAGTTTAGGAATAGAGACTTCTTCTATCATGCATAAAACCCTGAGTTCAATGCCCAGTGCTGGGGGAAATTTTTTTTTTTTTTTTTTGGAACTGAGATTTTTTCCATAAAGCACTGGTCAGACAGCTCACAGGAGACTCCTCAAAGGTCCTACCACCTACTTCTTCTACCTAGCATACTTATGTCTGGAACAATGAACTTCCCACCCTTCCTAAATCATGGGGTCAGGAAAGAATAATGTTTGATTTTGTCTGTTCTGGTTACCTGTTCATGTCCTCTGTTTGTCCCTCATGGTGTCAGCTGGGGTGGCTGCAGTGGAGCCAGAGAAGCTTCTTCCAAGGAGCCCGTTCATGTGGCTGGCAGTTAGCTGTGGCTTTTGTCCAGGAGCTCAGATGTGGATGCTAGCCATGGACTAGAGGGTCTCAGTTCCTCTTCCTGTGGATCTAACTGGGCTGCTTGGTTTTCCTCACACTGTGGTGGCTGGTTCTAAAGGCAAGTATTAGAGACAGGAAGTGGAAGCCACTAGTCACTCAAAAGAACTGGTACCGGAGAACGGCACAGTATTATTCCCACTGGTCAAACAGATGCTGAGCCCATCCTGATTTAGGGGAAATGGACATAAACCTCATTTTTCTTTTTTTCTGGTGTTGGGGATTGAACCTAGGGACTTGCACATGCTAGATAAGTGATCTATCACTGAGCCATATCCCCATGCTATAAACCTCATTTCTTTTTCTTTCCTTTTTTTTTTTTTTTTTTTTTGAGATGGGGGTCTTACTATTTTGCCCAGGCTGTTCTTGAACTCCGTCTCATATATACGTGGTCCTTCCCTGCCCCCTGCCTGCCTCCTGAGTAGCTGGGATAACAGGCATCCTCCACCACACCTGGCTTCAACCTCATTTATTTTTGGTACCAGGGAGTGAACCCAGCAGTGCGTAACCACACATCCCCAGCCCATTTTGTTTTGTATTTTGAGACAGCATTCTCACGAAGTTGTTCAGGGCCTCGCTAAGTTGTTGAGGCTGGCTTTGAACGTCCAATTTTCTGGCCTCATCCTCCCAAGCTACTGGGATTATAGGCACAAAAACCTAATTTCTTGGGGCTGGAGCTCAGCGGTAGAGCACTAGCCTAGCACATGCGAGGTGCTGGGTTCGATCCTCAGCACTCCATTAAAAAAATAAAGATTAAAAAAAAAAMCCAGCTCATTTCTTGATATTGGAAAAATGCCAAAGAATTTGTAGCCATCTTTCAATTCATTTCATCATCCCTGGCTCTAGGAACAAAAGGGGATAAAGAACTAGTCACCCACTTCTCAGGCATGTGCTAGACAGTGTACTAAACATTTATAAATACCTGTTTCCTATTGAAATATTTGAAACGGGGGTGGGGGTGGGGGTGGGAGTAACCCTATGAGATATTATCTCCATTTCACAGATGGGAAATGAGGGCTTAGCAGGACATAGGTCCAGTCCCACTTCAAAGGAACTGCATCAATCATCGTACAATATAGTCTTTAATCTCTGGGTCATTAAACATACCCTTGGAAATCAGAATGATTTTATTTTTCCTGCTGAAACAGTATGGTGGTCTTTTTCCCACCTGAAAGAAAAAAAATTACGGATTGTCTTGAAAATATTAAACCGTGTTTTCCACTAATTATCCATCATTTCTTAAATCCTTCGTGGATTAGATTAAGAATATTTTTAAGTGAATATACAGCAAAAGAAGAAAAGTGGACAATCTTGGAAAAAGCTGATCGTGGTTGGGAAGTTTGTTTTCATAGACATACATTCAAGATGGTTGAAATTCATGCAAAAGTCATTTTCTACTGGTAAAATTTTCTGTTTCTATGATTGAATCATTGTTTCCTGGCACTCTGCAACTGGCACAATTTTCTCCTGCTTTCCATCATTCAAAAAAGAAGGCAATTCACTAAAATTTCTCTTGGCGGGAACTCTGGATTTCTCCAATGAGTCATGAGAGAAATGCCAAAACTAATTTTTTTTTTTTTCTCCTTGGTAACGATGTATCAGCAGCAAAAATCTAGCCTTTAATTTCTCTGTAAGTATGTACTTTCAGCGCAGAATATGGACCTCCTGTTTACTCGGTTCCACATAGCTTGTCAATTCCAAGTTTTTTTTGTGTGTGGAACATATAGTCTTTCCTTTTGAAGTAGCTTTAAGGTTACAACTTCGTTTTCATTCTGGATGGTTTAATCAACTTAAAATTGAAGTCCTTTTGTTTTATGGTATAGAAGCTAAGAATTGCAAAAGTAGACCGCTTTAGGAATAAAGTTCAAGGATAGATTCTCTAGAAAGCTGATAGGCTCCATCATTTCTGACAAACTGTTAATTCCGTTGGTTTTTCTTTCTCCATTGTTTTTACAATCCACCTTTACCTTTCTGTTGGGCTATTTCAGAGTTTACTTGTCCTACTATTTCCAATTTTTGCTTCTCTATCTCCACCCCACCCTTCCATTCAATTTTCCAAATAGAAGCCAAAGTCATCTTTTAGAATTTATCATGGTACTTCCAAGCTTAAACTTCTTTGTTTCTTACTACACTTAGAAAAAATACAAATTCCTTAACACGGCCTTTATGCAGCCCCCTGACCTTTCCAACACTGGAGCAGAACGTACTATTCTGTGTATTTGCTTCCTTTCTTATTAGTGATGCGATCTCCTTCAGATCTCCAAGGCCCTGAGCTCCTTTTCTCTTTAGGTAGGGCCTTAGCCTGCACTGCTGTTCACCTAGCTACCTAGTCCAAGAAGGCTGTCCTCAGACCCTGTTTGGCTATGTCTACCTTTTTCCTTTAAGTTTCCCAATGTTACTTCATCAGGTTTCTTCTGATCCCCCCACCCCTGCTACTGGCTGCCAAACATCTAAATTAGGTCCCCCTCATTCCCTTTAGAGATTGTTCTCTCTCCAAGTTCTTTTCTTATTCTTAGGGTTCTATTCTTTTTCTTTAGGGCACTAACAGTTTATTATAATAAACACAAATATTTTGTCCTCTTCCCGATTCTGCTTCCTGTTTTGTATACCTTGCAGGCATAGTGCCCAGCACATACTAGTGCCCAAGGAAGACCTGCTGGATGAATAAGTGACTAAAGATACTTCTTAATGCTTTCTTTGCGTGTGTGTGTGTGTGTGTGTGTGTGTGTGTTTGTGTGTGTGTGTGGTGCTGGG